CTAACCAGAAGATTGGCGGTTCAAACCTACCAGCCACTCCTCAAAAGGAAGATTGGGCAATCTACTTCCGTAGTGATACTGCTTTGAAAACTCAAGGAGGGGTCGCTGAGTCGGAGACAACTCGACGGCACATAATAACAGTAACAACAGGCAGAGGGAACAGCAGGAGCAATCAGCTTCAATACAACCCTGAGAAACTGTTGAGGCAGGACTCCTGTCACCATCCAACAACACCTAGCAAATATTCGTTGAATAGATTCATGGCTTCCCCTGGCAAATTGGTACATGCCTGGCATATGGTGGGGCTCCATCTCTCACACTACATCCCTGCACTCCTGGTCTTATGCCTGTGCTTTTTTCTTTGCCACCACACTAGGCTATGAGCTCCTGAGGATTCTGTAGCCAGTACCTAGCACAAGGCCAGCTCATGTTGGGTGCAGCAAATATCAGCTGAGTAAGGTTGGGTCAAAGCACAAAGAGCAGAACCCAGCTCCTCTCACTTTCCAACACAGCCTCTTTGTATGATATCAAATGACACCTGTGAGCAGGGGAATGCTATGGGTGATTCTTGTTCCTTGATGACCAGCTTGGACTTTTTTTTTTTTTTTTTTTGCCAATCCTAGTCTTCTTTTTTAACAGGGAATTATGTGTGCTGTTTCCAGGGGAATGAAGATCAAGCCAGGTTCCATGGGGAAGGCCATCTTACCCTTTGACATCCAGGTCTGGCCCAAGGGCATTGGCAGTGAGTGGATGGGATTTGGCTGGGGTTGGACCATGTGCAGCACCAGGTATCATAACTTGCTATGCTTCTCTGCCCCACTTATCCTTCCTCCTCTCTCCCTAAGTTTTGTCCAATTTCCTGTGGAGGCTCCCATTGAGAACTGCAGTATCAAGGGTACTAATGCAGCTTGCCCTGTCAGCTAGAGGCATCACACACAGTGAGTAGGAAGGCACTTAGAGGCAGTGCTGACAATTATGTACACCATATGGTGCCCTCAGTTTTCATTGAACAATGTGTTCTAGCAAGAAAGAACATTTGCAATGTCTATATGTACATGTTGATAGCAAGGACTGGGCAATGTTTCATTCTGTTATATATAAGGTCACTATGAGTTAACTCCACAGCAGCAACAACAGCATATGTCCATGAACCAAATAGTCCCATGACTTGGGTCTCACCATTTCCTGGTTTCAAAGATTTTGACCATTTGATTATATTTTCAATGGGGCTCCTCCACCACTATTCCCCTTCTATTATCCCCATGATGCTGCATGAATGAGCCAGGCACTCTTTGAGTGGGTCAGGAGGGTTGGAGGAGCTCTGCATGGTGGGATTCACAGGCCTCTTGTTCCAGATTATTGACAACAAAGGGAATATCCTGCCTCCCAACACCGAAGGAAACATTGGTGTCAGGATCAAGCCTACCAGACCCATTGGCCTCTTCATGTGCTATGAAGTAAGGACCTTCCATCTGCTCCCTCCTTGGCCCCAGAATCCCTGCAGGGAGCCTTGTGGGTAGTAAGGGGTGAATGTAACCTGCAACTTCCTCAGATCTTCTCCATTGCTCCAACTCAGTGATGCCTGCTGTGATTGACACCTCTCCCAAACCCAAAACTTATAGTATACTCTCACATTGTGGCCTCTCCTGACCCATCTGTCATTAAGGGTTGATGATGGCTTCAGGAGTACCAGACTTGGGCTCCAATGATCTCCTGTGGCTAATAACATAGGCTTTGACATTAAACACACAGAATTCAAATATTAACCATCCCACTTACCAGCAAATGACTTAACCTAAGTAAGCCTCCCAAAACCCATTGCCATCTAGTTGGATCTGACTCATAGCAACCCCTCCTTGGGTTTCTGAGGCAGTATGGTAGCATAGTGGCTAAGGCACTTGGCTGATAACCAGAAGGCTGGCGGTTCAAACCCACCAGTCACTCCTCGGAAGGAAGATGGGGCAATCTACTTCCGTAGTGATACTGCCTCGGAAACCCAAGGAGGGGTCACTATGAGTCGGGTCCAACTTGACGGCACATAACAACAACAACAACATCACTACGGAAGTAGATTACCCAATCTTCCTTCCGAGGAGTGGCTGGTGGGTTTGAACCACCAGCCTTCTGGTTAGCAGTCAAGTGCTTTAGGCTCTATCCCACCAGAGTGCCCAAGTGAGCCTCCACGGGGGTGTTATTATCCTTATTTTACAGTGTCTTAGTTTCTTAGTGCTGTTGTAACAGGAATAGCACAAGGGATTTTAATGAAGAGAATTTCTTTTTCTCACAGTTTAGGAGGCTCAAAGTCCGAATTCAGAGCACCAGGGTTCTAGGGGAAGTCTCTCTCACTATCTGCTCTGTGGGAAAATCTTTGTTCCTTAGTTCCTTAATGCTGTCCATGTGGGATTTATCTTAGAGTGATTAGCTTTAAGGCTTACCCTACACTGATATGTCTCCATTAATATAACAAAGAAAACTCTATTCTCAAATAAGATCACATCTATAGGTATAGGGGTTAGGATTCCAACACATATTTGGGAGATACAATTCAACCCATAACACAGAGGAAGAAACTGCAGCTTGGAACCATTGTGTGACTTCCTCATATCAAATAAATGACTGATCCAGATTCAAAGCCATATCTTTTGGGCCCAATGTCCCCACACTTTAGTTTGGGCAAGGAGACCCAAGGAAGAAACCCAAAGGTTATAGAAAACAGAGATAAGAAACCTGCTGAAACACATGATCAAAACAAACTTCAGTCCTCTCAGGTTAGTAGTAGCCATGAGTGGGAAATTCTCAGCTTCCAAGACTGGCCATGGACCTTGAAATCTGATCTCAGAGTCCATCTCCTTTCTCCAAAATCACAGTCATTGTAGGCTCTCCTGATGTTACACTTCTCCTACATTATGGCCTCAAGGTAGCGCCACTCCTCTTTAATATTATTGCCAGAAAAAAAAAAAAAAAAACCACCTGCAGGCCTTAGCCTTAATTCTCATTAGACAAACTTTAAGCTCGCATAAATGGGAAAATAACCAGAGTAACACACATAGACATCAGTGGTTCTCAACCTTGCGTGCACATTATATATTATTCTTGAAATGACAAAATTATAGAAATGGAGAACAGATTAGTCATTGCCAGGCGTTAGGGATGGGACAAGAAAAAGAGGAGGAAGAAGAGGAAGCAGGAAAGAGATGGGTGTGGTTACAAATAGCAACACAAGGGGTCCTTGTCATGATGGAATTACTCTGTATATGGACTGTGGTGGATACACAAACCTACCCACCAAACCAAACTGGACCCACTAACTAAGGACACACACACACACACACACACACAAATAAGTACAAGTAAAATGAGAAATCTGAGTAAGACTGGCCGATGGTATCAGTGTCAATGCCCTTGTGGCGATATTGAACTCTCATTTTGCAAGATGTTCCCATTGGGGCAAACTGGGTAAATGGTATACAGGATCTTTCTGCAGTGTTACCTGTTTGAAAACTAACATATTGTTGTGTTTTCAATGAAGGTTAACACAGCAAATTAGGTTCCTATTTAACAATTTCTACACAATTTGTTCAGTGACATAGGTTACATTTTACATAGTGTGTCAACTTTTTCATTATTTCCATTCTGGTTGTTCCATTTTCAGTAATCTAGTTTCCCTGCCTCTGTACTATTTCTTAAGATTGCATGTACATCTACAGTTATCTTAAAATAAGCAGCTTTACTAAAAAAAAAAAAAAATACCAGTCATATACCAAAATAGCACAATCAAATGAGATTGTATTTTGGGAAGGAAATTCATTTCGTATGTGTTCATTAAACTCATTGTCATCAAGTGAATTTCAACTTATAGCAATCCTCATTGGGTTTCCAAGGCTGTAAATCTTTATAGAAGTGGACTGCCTCATCTTTCTTTTGCAGAGCTACTGGTGGGTTTGAACCACTGGTTTTGGTTAGCAGCCAAATGCTTTAACCACTACTCCACCAGAGCTCCTTAAATGTTAAGACCACTCATAAAGTAGGTGCTGTGTGGGCACTGAGCTTATATCAGTGAATAAAAGAAACAGGGTTCTTGTTTCAATGGAAATTTCATTTTAGTGGTATACCACACAAAAGTGAGTAGTTTTTTAAATTATTAAAATTAGTTTAATAACATCCACTGTTGTTGGGCAGTAACATGTTACTAGTTGGGCAGTAACATGTATTGAGTGCTACAATCACAATACTTGCCCAAGTGCCTGGTAGTGTCTGGCATGACTTGAACCCATATCTGAGCCCTGACCATTACTGACCATCTCTATACCTTCAACAAAGGAGTGCTCTTCTCTTTGCAGAATGACCCAGAAAAGACAGCCCAAGTGGAATGTGGGGACTTTTACAACACTGGGGACAGAGCAACTATTGATGAAGAAGGCTACTTTTGGTTCATTGGGAGAAGTGATGATATCATCAATGCCTCCGGGTAGGTGTGGCTGGCCCTGGGCCAGCAGTGTCAGACTCAAATGCTTAATGGGATTTGGCTTGCCAGGTCATTCTTCCATGCATTGATGAGGGAACCCTCAGCCTAATTCCGAATAGAACCATGTCTACTGCCCTGGCCCAGAGCATATCTGTTTGTGCACCTCTTCCAAACCATGTGTCCAAAAGAATCCATCAAAATGAAGTTCAAGTGGGTCTAGAAGATGGAAACAAACTCGTAATAAGACATTATGAAATTTAAGGGGTGATGGGATTGGAACGTTTGCTTTGGTTCCCATTGGTTGGGGAAGCTTCTTTAATGCTGTGCTTCTCATGTGGGGCCCAAGATGCATGTCGTAGGAAAAACATAACAATAACAACAGCTAACCTTTACCTAGGATAGAGGCGCACTGGTGGCATAGTGGGTAAGGCATTTGGTTGCTAACCAAAAGGTCAGCAGTGCAAACCCACCAACTGCTGCATGGAAGTAAGATGAGGCAATGTAGTTCTGTAAACATTTAAAGCTTTGCTGCTATGAGTTGGAATAGACTTGATGGCAGTGGGGTTTTGTTGTTGTTATTGTTGTTTTTTTGGTTTGACTTAGGATGTGAAAGCACTCCCCTGAGCACTTTCTGCCTAGTGAGTCATTTAACTCTCCCATCAGTGCTATGTTGCTGTTGATAGCTGCCCTTGAATCAGCCACAGACTAATGGTTACCTCATGTATTACAAACAGAACTGATTCATAGGGTTTTCTTGGCAGATGGCCATGGAAGAAGCTACTCATTGGGTTCAAACTGCCAACCTTTGAGTTAGCAGCCGATCACAAACTTCTTGAGCCACCCTGGCTCCTTCAGCAGTATGAGGCAGATGTTATTTTCGCCTCCATTTTAGGATGAGGTAACTGAGTCCAGAGCAGTGAAGAAGGTTGCCTTGAGCCTCAAAGATATCACATGATGGAGCCAAGATTTTAAATGAGGTCATCTGTCTCTGAGGCCATGCCCTTAATCAGTACACTTAAAAAAAAAAAAAAATCTAAAGCTAATTATGTTTGTGCATGTGTGTGTGTGTGTGTGTGTGAATAAGATGCAAGGTTAAATGAACTCTTAAGATAAAATTTGAGGCTTTTAAGAAATTTCACACTGGTAGAAGTTGCCTGAGTCACAGGCTCAGAGCTCTGGGAAGACAAACATCTGCCCCCACTGTCATCTGAGGCCATGAGCCCTGGAGTGCACCCGAACCTTGGTACTTGCCAGCATAGAGTGTTGAGATCTTCATGTTTCAGGTCCATGACTCAGGCAGGTCATGAGTCGCCGGCTCCCTATGCCAGTAACCTCTGTGCCAAGGGGGGCTGTGACCCTCCAATTCCAATATTGGGCAGTGGGTCACCCCAATCTTGGCATCTGCCTCTGAACCTGTGAAGGAAAGAACAGCTGATCTTGCAGGTACCGAATCGGTCCCACAGAAGTGGAGAATGCCCTAGCAGAGCACCCAGCAGTGGCTGAGTCAGCCGTGGTGGGCAGTCCGGATCCTATTCGAGGGGAGGTGAGTAGAGGGCATGACGTGATCATGCCAGTGTGTGGGGACTGGGAAGCCAGAAGCAGGCGAAACGTCAAGGCACTATCTAGCCAGCCTTGGCCCTAAGGTGCAGAGACCCTAATTGGTGTGTGCGCACTTACACTGTGTGGTCAGCTGGCATCGTAGCCTCATCTGTGGCACTATAAATGTTTATGAATGGTGATGGTGATGACGATGACAGATAATATTTAATGAGCACTTACTATGTGCCAACTCATTTAACCATTTAACCCTCACAACAACCCAGTGAGTTAAGGACTCTTATTATTTATTTATTTATTTTAATGAATGGTATATATGGCTCCTGCTTTCAAGAAGCCCACCTTCCTTGAAGTGTTAGATATGTTTACACAATGAGAACATATATATACTGCAGATAATACAATTTGAATGATGTGTACATATCATTCACAGCATATAGAAACTCTCTACTGATAAATTTTTGTTGTTTTTGTTTTGTGACATTTACTGCAATCCCTCCACTGTCACAGCATTCTTCCCACTTCCTCCCTGTACTCACCCCTTCCCTTCATTCTTCCTTCCTATCCCTTCCCACCTTCCTAGCTCTATCCCTGGGTAGATGCTGTCCTCTAGATCTTATCTGCTTGACTGTTGCAATGAGTGCATTCCCTGCTGGTGTTACTGTTCACTTTACTGGCTTGTCTATCATTCTGCTGCCGGTTGAGTCACAGGGCTTAAGTTCCTAGCTTGAAGGTTGTCTAAAGGCCTTCATTATCTTGAGAGTTCCACCAGTCCTCATCGGACAGTAAACCTGGCCTTTTTTTTTTTTTTTTTAATGATTTTGAGATTTGTTCCACATTTTGTCCAACTCTACCCAGGACTCTTATTGTGATAACTTACAATTATATGACAATCCTGCTATAATAGTAATAACACTAATTTAGGAGTGGATGCATAGACAGACACTCAAACTAAATAGGAGTGGGAAGGCAAATGGGACTGCACCCACCTATATATATAAGTTTGACAGAGGCTATCTGTACATATATGTTTACATGTGCTGCAAATATATCCATGAATGTTATAGAGCATACAGGGGACAGAATTATGAAAACATCTTAGTCATAACCAGACACCTTGAAGAATGAGTCACTGGGTATGGAAGCCAGAGTCTCAGGAGAAACGAAGGTCAATTGGTATAACATAGTCCACAAAGACAATATTCTACATCCTACTTTGGTGAGTAGCAACTAGGGTCTTAATGTTTGTGAGTGGCCATCGGAAGTGCAACTATTGGTCTCCCTGCATCCGGAGCATAGAGTAAAGAAAGCTGAAGACAAAGAAAACAATTAGTCCAAAGGATTAATGGAGTTCATGAACAAGCCTGAGACCAGGAGAACTAGATGATGCCCAGTTATTATACTCTTTCCATAAGTATGGAACAGTCCTCGGATGGTACAAGCAGCCAGCTATTAATGTAAAGTCTGGTGGTTCGAATCCACCCAGTGGCACTTCAGAAGAAAGTCTTGGCAATCTGCTTCTGAAGATTACAGCCAAGAAAACCCTGTGGATCAAGTTTGCTCTGTGACACATGGTGTCACCATGAGTCAGAATCAACTCAAAAGCAATAGGCTTGGTTTGGTTTTTATAGATGAGAAAACAGGCATAAAGAACTTGCCTGGATCACACAGCAATGAACTGACAGAGCCAGGATAGGAGTCTAAGCAACATGGCTCCACAGCTTGTATTCCTTGATCCAACAACTATTTACTGAAAACCTACTATATACTGAGCCCTATGTGATTAAGCTGGGGATATAAATTAATCATCATCATCATCAATTGCCAACACTAATTACTCACTAGGTTCTATGCAGGGAACTGTACATACAATAATAGTAATAATTATGATACTACTACTTCTAATAATAATAATAATAAAAACCAAACCCACTGTCATCAAGTTGAATCCGACTCATAGTGACCTTTATAGGGTTTCCAAGGCTGTAAATCTTTACAGAAGCAGACTGCCTCATCTTTCTCCCATATGGTGGTTTTGAACCACTGACTTTTGGTTAGCAACCAAATGCCTTAACCACTACACCAGAGCTCTTAAATAATAATAGTAAATTTAAACTAGCCAAATGTTTCTCATGTATCATGAGTTGAAATCTTTACAGATACACAGTAAAGAATGAACTTTTATTACTCCCATTTCATAGAGAAGGAAATTGAAGTTAAGAGAATTTAATAATCTTCCAAGAACATAGAATGGTATGGGATGTACTAAGATTTGAACATGATCCTATCCTTTTTCAAAGTTTCCATGCTCTTATCAACTATATGGCTCAAGCATCATCTTTCTTTTCCATTCATTCAATAAACATTACAGTTTTGGTGGCACAGTGGTTAAGAACATGGCTGTTAACCAAAAGATCAGTGATTCAAACCCACCAGCCACTCTGTAGGAGAAAGATGTGGCTGTCTGCTTCCATAAAACTTTGGAAACCCTATGGAGTAGTTCTACTCTGTCATATATATAATGTTGCCATGTGAAGGAATCAACTCGGTGGTGAAGGTATATAGTTTGTTGGACTTTGCTCCTGTGCTGCAGGTGGTGAAGGCATTTATCACCCTGACCCCTCAGTTCCAGTCCCATGACCGGAACCAGCTCACCAAGGAGCTGCAGCAGCATGTGAAGGTAGTGACAGCCCCGTACAAGTACCCAAGGAAGGTGAGCATGACAGATGAATGGGTTCAGTCTCCTCCTCCCAAGTGGTTCTAGTGCTCAGCCATCCCAGGTCCTCAAGGGTGGCCAGGGCTAAGCATAGGTGACCAACAGCCCTAGCTTTGTTCACTGCGAAAGAAGTAATTTGATTTAAGGATGGGGTGGAATGGACGTCATTGGATGAGAACCTCCACTCTATGTCAGGAAGCCAAAAGGAACCCACTGTGACAAGTTAAGATAAAGAAGAAAATCAAACAAGTGTTCCAAAGATACATGTGCAAGGTTATTTATAATCCTGCAAAATCTGAAAAATAAATCCAAATCAGCAGATTCCAAACTTTCTGTAAAGATGATTCATAGTAAGAAGTACATTTTGTATTGCCACCCAATACATACATATATGTATATATGTATTCATATAACATACAAAATGTTATATAATGTTATGTATTCATATAACATGCAAAAGTTAATAAAACATTTATCCTCATAACTTGGAATACTTCAGTATTCTCTATTTTCCTTCATTTTTTAAAAATGTTGGTTGCAACCTATAAAATTCATTTTACAACTCACTGATGGGCCACAGTCTATGGTTTGAAAATCACTGATCTAAATGTCTCACATACAGAAATGATTCACTTATCCATGAAATTAACACCATCCTATACGATTCACATATTTTATTTTATTTTTTACACCGGAAGATCTCAGCAGTATATCATTAAAAGAAAAGTTCAGGACATGGAATCATATATGCAGTATGATCCTATTTGCTTAAAAATAGAGTTTGAAAGGATACAGAAGCCAAAGAGTTAACATTTGCTTCTTGTGTAATACTTTGCTGCATTGTTTGAATTTTTACAATTAATATGGTTAACATTTATTGATCACTTACTCTACCTGCTGAGCCCTGTAGTTAATGTAGTAGTATTTTATTTAATCCTTGTCACAACCTGCTGTAGCATAACTGTCCCATTCTACATAGAGGAAACTAGGACACAAACAAAGCTAATGGCCTAAAACTAAAGCTAATAAAAGGCAGAGCTGGAACTCAAACCCAGGTGTGTCTGACAAAAAACATTCACGCCAGGCTATATGCCTCATAACTTCCAGCATTATAGCATCACCCAAGTCACTATAGTAGGACAAGCTGCAGACAAGTATTGCAAGCATTAGCAGGACCAACCATGGTGAACAGGTTTCAGTGGAGCCTACAGACTATGATAGACTAGGAAGAAAGGCATGTTGATCAACTTCTAAAAATTAGCCAATGAAAATCCTATGGATCTAGTGCTGGAAGATAAGCTCCCTAGGTTGGAAGGCACTCAAAATACACAGTGACCCCAACAATGGGCTCAAGCATACCAACAATCATGAACATGGCACAGGATTAAGCCCTACTTCATTCTGTTGCCCCTGGGGTTGTCATGAGTCGGAGCTCACTGGAAGGCAACTAACAACTTCAACAATAACACTGCCACATAGAGAATAAAAAAGATGATGTACAGCACCAGGCAGACTAAGTTACACTGTGGATAACAAGCAGCCTTAAGTCTTAGTGGCTCATAATGATGTAAGTTTATTACCCTGGTCTTCTGGAACTTCTGCACCACATCGCCTCACCCTGGGACCAGGGTAAATATTCAGCCACCATATACAAATGTGCCAGGTGCTCTGGCTGATGGGAAGACAGTGTGGCCAGTCTCCCATCTCAGTGGTTCCAGACTCTTCTGCCTAGAGGTGACACACTTCACCTCCACTTACAGTCCATTGGCCAAAGCAAGTCACCTGGCCACATCCACCTTCTGGGAGTTGGGAAGAGAACTTGAAATACCCAATGAGCCCCATGAAGGCCACCACACATGGTGTCAGTTTGTCTGGGGTTTGAGTAGGGGATAAAGAGGGTGGTGGGGAATGGAAGGAAGTGACAGCAGGATTGAGTCAGCTTGGATTTGCTTTCTTCTCATCCAGGTGGAGTTTGTCCAAGAGCTGCCCAAAAGCATCACTGGCAAAATCAAACGGAGTGAACTTCGGAAAAAGGAGTTTGGGCAGATGAAATTGGCAGTCAACTCAGATCCTGAGTGACCTTGGACATGTTCTTCAGTTTCCCTAATATGGTGTGTGGGGGGTGTTGAGAGGGTTGATTTCAATGGGGATCAATAGTGCCAAGATTCCTCCATTCTTCCTCTTTGAAGTTAAATTCAGTCACTACACTTCTTCTAATTGCTCTGTCCCTTTGGGATTGCCCAGGTGAGCACTGGGACTGGGCTGGAGGAAATAAAAGACTAGCATCAACTATGCCTGTATTTTGTAAGTCTGTTCTGTGCTGGGTCTGTGCCAAGAGCTTCTCAGAATCTCCTTTCTAATTCTCCCCAACAGCCATCCATCTGGACTGGATGGATTCTCCTTCCTGAACCCAGTGCCATTCAGTCATCCCATGTGCCTATTCCATGCCCAAGGACACTGGGCAGGAGAGAAACTCCATGTGGTCCCAGGATCCAGCCCTGCTGAGCTCTTTCTGGACCCTACAGGAGGGTGAGCCCAGAGATGGGGTCTGGAAAGGCATCTGGGTCTTGACCCTTGCTTGATGGCTGTACTCACTGGCCAGATAGTCCAGCACCTGCCACCATCCAATGGCCTAACACCTTTGTGCCTGACAGCAATGTAACTGCTGCTGCTGCCACCTCCTTACCTCCTTTGTCCAGGAGCGACGCAGTGAGTGAGGGGGTCAAGAGTCACAAGGACAGTCCCAGTCCTTCCCAGGTATGCCCACTCATTCATCCCTAACTAGGGCTTTAGAAGACCTACCCATCAGGTTTCCCTAGAGATATTTCCCACTCATCCCTCCCTAGGGATCCAGGAGTCCCACAACCGTCCCACTGTCTTCCATGTACTTACCCACTCTCGGGACAGACAACCCTGCAGATCCAAGCCAGGGGTCTAGGGCCCCCTTAGTCCTTCTGCAGGGGCCCACAAGACACCCTTCCCACTCCTATAACACTCTTTAGACTGGGGGATCCTATTAACTGATGCTTCACTATCTCCATCTTTGAGGCCTGAGGTGGGTCCACCAGGATGACACCAGAGATTGAGAGGAGCAGGGTCAGAAAGGAGGAGAATAGCCATACTGTCTCTTCTCACCCAGTCCAGGAGTGGCCCTCAGAGAAGTCTCCTCTGTGGCTGACATTCCTGAGGCATACAGACACACAGACACACACTCAGTGGGAAGTGTTCAGACATGATGAGCATGAAGACACAAAGAAAAGAACCACCTAGACTCACCCAAGCACATGAGTATGGGCTTATGGATGGACTCACACAGCTCCACAGGGCAGACCCAGGCAGAGACATGGAGGGAAGCACACACACACACACACACACACACACAAGACAGCCCCCCAGGGCAAACTCAGATGCATAATGGACACATGCACACAGATTCACACTCAGGAGCACCCAAAGGAGCAAATTCACACACACACGGATCCAGAACACAGACACTCCAGCAGGGACACAATGCCCAGATACATATACACAAGCACAAAGCCATGTATGGATTTATATTAGCTCATTCACTGACACAGACCCACAAACACAAACACACAGAGAGAGAAGACCACTAAGACACCCACAACAGCTACAATGCATACATTCACAGATTCGGACACTCAAAGACAGCCACACAGATTACACACGCGCAGACCTTTGGCCCTACAAGACATCACAGATGGCCCTGACACTCCTAGCAGAAGCCACTGCAGGCAAACATGAACTGCCCCACTGAAGCAAACAAGGAAAAACAATGTTTTTCTGATTTCAAATTCATGCTGGGGCCCTTTGGCGGGCTATGGCCAGGATGCTAAAATTCCACATAGCAGCCAGGATGGGGTACCTCTGGGAAGAGCCCCTGGGCATGAAGCTGGGACTAGAACCCTGTTGGGGTGCCCTTGGAGTGTAGGTGTTCTGTGGGGCTTGGTGGATCTAGAAGTCAAGTGAGGCCACAAGAATTGTTACTATTCATAAGTGTTGTGATGGTTAATTTGGTGTGTCAATTCTACCTGTGTATGCAAATGTAAGGAAAGGCAAGGGGCCTGTTCTAGAGATTAACAGAGAAATTTCACAGTTAATTTAAAAAAAAAAAAAAGCATATTCCACATATGAGTAACATTGCAAATAATGGGAACTCAGAATACTTAATTGTACTCATTCAAAACCTGTACACTGATCAAGAGACAATTGTTCAAATGGAACAAATTTCAACACATGTGCAGCAGGGTTATATCCTTTCACCATGTTTATTCAATCTGCATGCTAAAAAATAACCCTAGAAGCTGGGCTATATGAAGAAGAAAACACATCAGTATTAGAGAACACTCATTAACAATGTCAATAATCAGTTTACACAAACTTGCTTGCCAGAAATGAAGATAACTTAAAGTACGTACTGATGAAAATCAAAGACCACAGCTTCAGTATGGATTATACCTGAATGTGAAGGAAACAAAAATCCTCCCAATTGGAGCAATAAACATCATGATAAATGACAAAGAAATTGAAGTTATGAAGGATTTCATTCTATTTGGATCAACAACTAATA